CTACTGGAATACCTGCATCGACTATGGTCATGTTTTGGTACGCTGTCGCTTTTCCATGAACTTTACCGGGAGGCGCGCTGTTTCTCCCGATTGTTAACTGACAAATTATCCCAGCCCTCGATCAAGAAAGCCTACTAAGATCCACTGTGTAGCGGACATTCGCTCTATGGTTATAATGACACAGCATCAGTGAAATAGGATTTCGGTCGCCACTGCCGACGCATGAGCATCTGCTTATGACACTATCAAGATCAGTTCAGTTGGCCCCCTGATTCCAGACCTCTTCTTACTCAGGTGATGTAGGACGGTAAGTTTAGAGGCTCCATCCGATGCAGAGGTCCGAAACGCGATCCCGGCCCTCAATCGCTTCCGTGCTGCTCTCACCTGCACTAATTAAGGACGAACATAAAGTCCTATGCGAAACACTGATTTCTCTGTTCTAACACGTATGGAAGGAGATCGTCCCGGATAACTGGAGTGTATCGAGTATAGTGGCGATATACAAGAAGGGCGGGCGCACCGACTGTGCTAACCATAGGGGTATTAGTCCAATGCTGGTGGTGACAAAACTACTGACCTCAATTATCGTTCGTCGCCTCACTGTGGAACGGGAATCTCGGATTAGGGAAGAGTAGGCAGTTCTCAGACCAGGACCACATATTCACTTTGCGGTAGGTGTAAGAGCGGCGCCATGTATGCAGCAGACTGGCAATAGCAGCGTTCCTCGATTTCAAGACTGCGTTCAATTCAGTCGATCGATGTCTTCTGTTCGAAATACTTGCATGGAAATGTTTTCCCATGGAATACGTAAACATTCTACGTGTGGTATTCGGACGCTACAGGCCGTGCCACGGTCTACGGTGACCTGTCAGATAGCATCCCGATAACAAGTGGCGTTTGTCTGGGTTGTCCAATTTCCCCATGTTTGATTAAGTTCGTCGTGGACTGCATCCTGGAGTGTTCCCTTACGGAGCCACGATGCAGGCGTTGAGATGCTGCCTGGTGAAAGGCCTGTTGATCGTGATTATGCGGACGAGATTGACTTGCTGTTTAACAATGCAGGGGCGGTGCAATCGACCCTGAATAGCCTCTTAAGAGTGGTCCAATCATCCGGCATGCGCTTCGCAACTTTAAAGTGCAAAGTGCTGTTACAGGACCACCAAGCACTTGATGATCCCTTGATCCTTGATAGCGAGGAACTCGTGGTAGTTGATCGATTTATTGCAGCTGCAGCAGCAGCGATGGGCGCATAATCGCTGAAGTCAGCTCACGTACTGAAGAACTTATTTAATTTGGTCCCAATATTTGGCACGCGCTTCGCGTCTTCAAAGTACAATGTTGATGCAGGACCACCAGCCATTTGATGATCCCTTGAGCCTAGATAGGGAGGAACTCGAGATAGTTGACAAAATGCACTTACTTTGGTAGATGTATCAGCAACGATGAGCGCATAATCGCTGAAGTCAGTTCACACATTAAAATAGCCAGAACTGTCTTCTTGAATCTGCGACATCTTTTGCGACAGAAAGGGGTTTCCCTCCGTCCGAAAGACCGTGTTTACAAGACCACAGTGAAGGCCGTCCTATTCTATGGAAGTGAGGCTTGGCCCTTTCGGTCTGAAGATCTGAAAGGTCTTTGATCATCGCTGTCTGCGGAGCATTGCTGGTGTCGGGTGGCTTCGGCGTGTCCGCACCGATGATGCGCATAGGCGAGTACTAGGTAGTGATAATAATACTAGCTCTTTAGAACAACAGATAGCACTGAATAAGCAGCGTTTGCATGGGCACGTACTATGTATGCCCGGTCACCGCTTACCTAGGAGGGTCTTGTTTTGTTTGCCAGATTTAGGGTGGCGCAAGGTTCGAGGTGAACACAAGTTGACTTGGCAGCCGGAAATGAAGCCACTGACGACTAAACTTGGTGCGGCCGGTCCGTCTCGTCTTCCAAGCTGGAATCCAAGTGAGCCGCCTTGTGCTTGGCTTGAGACATTACAAAACATGGCTCACAATCGAAGCCAGTGTGCGTCTGTTAATCGGACTGCCTGTTTAAAGTGTGGCTGGTGCTGAGTTATCTGCGGGGTAAAGGCCGATTATGACGTGGGGCAGTGAAAGCCGCAAGCAAGCTGTCTCGCCGATGCCGCCTTATCTTTGCACGATAGTCAGCTGTTTGTGACGGTATGTTGTCTACACAAGGTGTAGGCGACTTGACCCTGAATGTTTGCTTAGGGCACTAAGGTTTTCCGGGTAAGTCCCTCTTCTCTCCCTCTTTTTACTCTTCATCCCGCAGGTCATGATTGTATGGTAGCAAAGCATCAGTTCAAATGGCTGACGTACTGCTGTTGAAGATGATGGCATTGCATACTTCGTGATGACGGTGGTACTGAGTATCCAAACAAGCATTGTCCGAAACCAAAATGAGGGGATCCCACACAAATCAACCTGTCAACGAGATTCAACAGCTACCATCCGTATGACTAAGAGCCAACGTGACGGAACAAAACAGGTACGGTTCAGCATCTATACAATCGATACGTCATACACTGGTGCTGATGTTGGCGAGCGGCGCTTCTTTCGCCGGAATCCAGTTCATCATCATACGATTTATGTAACTTTCAGGACCGCCAACTCCCTTCGGTTGAACTTCCCTCTGACCGCTCTTGTCTTGCAGGAAGCTGAGCATACCCGGTTCAGCAAATGACTCCAGCCAGGAGATTTTCACTTTATTGCCTGGCAAGTCACGGCGCCAGTTTCGAAAGTCCAAGCGATGCGGAAAGTTGCTTATTGAAACAACGAATATCTGCAAGGCACATCCGGCTTTTCCTCCTACTACACACCTCAGTTGACGTCTCGCAGTGATCATCTTTCCTGCGCGCTGGTTCGTCATGTGCTACATCCGTAGCTGAGGTCGCTGTGCACGCAGCTTGCGTTATGGCGTTGGAGGGCCCTATGGTTAGCCCGTACTCATCCGATTTTATCATTCGTAACGTAATACATACTTCTGGTGCACTACAACCAAACGAAGGCAACCGGCGAAGGGTTTGGCGGAGCAGCGACGGTGAAATCTTAAACCTAGCTGGAAACTGTGTATGTGGTCATTTCTCAAATAAATGTGATCACAAATCGCAACGATGTCGCCGGTTAATGGTAACAGCTGGGCGATATGCGTCAAGTGAAACCAACGAATCATTTAAGAAAAGTTAGAAGACACCAATCATACAGAGCCTAGGAGGCATTGTCGAACGTTTGGATTCCAAAAATGTGGGCACTACAGCTAGACCGGTAACCAGAGATCGTTTGATGAAATTATAGGCAGTCCAGTCACGTGGTTCGAAGATGTCAAAACAAAACGAAGTGTCAACGAGTGGACACAATTTCCTACGTCAAGAGAGATTACATGCAGACTCCCCAATGAAATGAAGGGAGGATGTTGTAATGCGCCCGCCAGTTATATAAGGAGCTACTCATGAACTCGCGGTGCAACATAAGTATCGCACTATCGGGTTACTGCAGGTAAGTACATCATAGCTGACGAAGTAACTCTGAGCCAGACACCTGGCTGTTAGCTGATGGGGAGTAGCTGTTTTGGAGATTGACTGGCGCCGAAACTGAGATTTAAGAAAAAAGGCGAATATAGCCACTATATTCTAAAACCATAACCCCCTGGATCAGACCTTTGTGATAAAAATAAAGATCGGAATGTCACAAAATCGCCTTCAGAATTCGCTAAGGCAGTCGTGACGTTTCCCCCCGTAATAAGGTGGATTCGCTGAGTCTGTTTTAGTGAAAGTCACCGCGGTTGGCTAAGAAAAAGTTCCCGCGCTAGTACATGGGGGCACAACAGAATGTCGAAGTAATTCTTCCGGGACCGACAAAGTAGCCCTGAGAATGTCCAGGAGGAATAAAAATTGACCCAACAAGACCCATTCTTTTCAACTAGAAGACGATTTGTGTTAATAATGTCCAGTAGAGGCATGCGCCCATCTCTTCATTGATCGGATAGGATCGAGACTACTAATTTTGGTAGCTAGCTTATATGTTCCAAAATTCGAACATTCCTAGGCTGATCTGTAAATATGTATCGATTTTCACACGAATTGAACCGTTCTGATATATGTTCGTCCAACAGTGTTCCGTGTCGTGGTCATCGACTACTGAATTTGGCTGGATTACGAGGTACTGGATCGTTTCAACCGAAATCGCATAGAAAACAGAAGATCTAACGAGGTGCAACGTGCAAACATACATATAAGATCTCGAATCCGGCAAAATGAGCTCGTGTTTAGGGAGCGCAGTTCGCAGATAAGGCAAGCAGGTTTGAGTCAATAAGTGATTTATAGCCAAAACTATAGATTTATTAAGGCGTCACAAGGAGGGTGAACAATAATGGATAATCAACCTTACAGGCAAAAGAGGTGAGTGGGACAGCGGGAGGAGTCATTGCGACACAGTGATTGGACAACGAAAACGCGTTGGGAAGCCGATTATTCGATACGAATTTAGAAGAAAAGACGGAAAATTTAGGGGCGAAGCAATACACAATCCGAGACACATTCGATTGCAATCGACGTAAACAACGTGAGAAACAGTGAACTAGGGGGGAGGGAAAACAAAGCAGGTTATCAACTCTCTACTGATCCAGTGCGTGATATCGCTACAGTGTAACGGAGAATGTGATCGACGGGATCGAAGCGAAGCGAAGGCAAGGCACGTCTTGGGTGTTGAGGCGGTTGGGGATCGGAGGAGGAAACGTAAGCTACAAAATTCGACTGAAGATGACTAACGGCGGGGTCTCGAGGAGGAGAGGAGCTCTTCCACAGAGTGCAAAAATAGAAACGAAGTGAAGAAGACCAAAGGCAAATGACAGACGGAAAAGGCTGACCGAGTCTGCGTAGAGAGTTGAGGTTCACAGCTCTGAGTATATTCACAACAGAAGGAGCAAGAAGAAAGAAAAGAGGACAATCCGTACAACTGTACACGTATACCTGCACGCACGCGAGGCGGCTAGCTTGAAATGTCAGGATCGACGGAAGACTGCAAGGGAAGAAGAGAAGTGAGACAGACACACTGGTAGACAAGACGCTGAGAAGGGTGCACATATTCGAATCAAGTTAACGAATCAAAACAGACAAAAGATGATATTAAAAGCTGGAACATGGGTTGAAAAAGCTTGAATTACGATACACAATCCGGACTTGAAGCACAACTTACCCAGAAGTAGCCCTTGTGTAACGGGCACGTTGCGCCTGAGCATGTGGAAATCATGTGTCAAGCCATTTTGCCAAGTTGCGTTCTAATGCCGGGATCATATAGAGCGGCTATTCACCGTTTCCGGCCAGTCCAGTTGTAGATCCCGTTACAATCAAACACCCTCAACTTAATGGGTCTAGTTTAAACTCCTACCTCACAAGTTCAGTCCCATTTTGCGTACTAGCCTCCTCTATTGTATCCAACTCTTACGTTTTGTGGTTGCTTCGCTGGACCTAACACCATATGTCCCGACTCCACAGCCAGTCTCACGCCGACTGTACCTTGATTTTTTGACTGCGCTTTATCTCATTTTGTTCGCTTCCCCTTGAACACGTCCCCCCGCCCGTTCTAAACTGAATCATTTGAGGAATCCGTCTTTCCTTTGCATATCGTTGTGTCTAGTGATTGCGCTCATGTCAATCTGAAGGATCATCGAGGCCTACAAATAGAAGCCGATGAAATACGCTTGACTACTTGGTTAGACACGGGCTTATCGATAGGAGAGGAGTGACACTCCTCGTTTGCATGTGAGTTGAAACTAGAATCTAAACACCTACAAAAGCAAGGTGGGGGTGGGTCAAGAACTGGGGGGGGGGGGTTAAAAACAGGGGGATAAAAGTGGTTGGGATGGGAAGATAGAAGTGAAGATGCGTAAGAAGGGGATAAGGAGACGGGACGGATTGAGAAGTAGCAACCAAACCCATTTCAAACCTGCTCGATGCAGCAGATAGGGCCCCGTTGATTATCCTCAGCGACGGTAAGAGGAAATTGTTTACTAAAGGTTTCATAATATTGCGTTGGTAGAATACTGTCAGGTTGCCTAGGTCTAGACAGGAGAAGGATTAGGGTTTTGAACCAAAGCCTTTGTCACAAAACCTGACCGCAAGACAAGGGGTTTGGTGGTGGGCCACAAGGAGTCGGTTTTAAGGAATAAGAAGCCACATTCCAAGCCCCAACCTGGAGGACCAGGAGGCTGAGTTTGTCTGCCGTCTAACCATTGACCAATCTGGTAGGAGTGGCCCTGAAGGTGCAAAGCAAAAAAGCATATCTGAGGCACGCAAACCTTCGCATTACGGTAAGGTCCAGTCTCATTGCGATGGGAATGATTTGACTATGCTTTATCTAGTTATCTTCGTTTTCCTTTGAACTCGTTCCCACGCCCGTTCTGAGGAATCAGTCTACCCTTTGCATATAGTCTCGACTAGTGATCTCTGTCACTTAAACGTATAGGTCGTACAGTCCTATCGCTTTTGTGACCCAGCCATGCCCCGGATTCACGGAGATCGCATTCAATGACACGCCGGCTTGTTTGAAGAGTGACGTCTGGAAAAGGTTGAGGTCTGCACTTTAGTGGGTAGTAGGGGGGGGGTTATTGCGTTTTTTGGGAAGATTCATTGCAGCCAGACTCAATCGGACAGCCCCACACATCCCGAAAAGCGTTAGACGACCGTCTCGTCATATTGGGACTCGTTAGCAGCGCGCACCTGCAGAATTCTGCTGGTTTCGAACCGATAACCTTATTAGTAGCCAACGATTAATGCCACTGAACGCACGGGTGACGGGGCAGACCACCATGACTGGTTGTTATCATGAGTTGCTAAATCGTACCGCGGATCTGTTCCGAGTCCGCTTGTAGCGAATATTATACAGGCTACTCGAGTTTCCTAAATGGATTTCTCTTTACAACTCCGTCATATCGATCAATGGAACCGCATCCGATGTAGAGGCGTCTTCACTCCCGTGCACAGCACCGTAATATGACGATGGGTTTCGTACCTGGACAGTGTATTACGAGCGGGTAACTCTGAAAACGCCGCTTTTCACAAGTTTTTTTTTTGATAGTTTGGTTAGACTACGTAAGTGATCTCTCGAGTGATTAATGGTCTATAATGAAACCCAACTAGACATGCTTAGTAGGTGTGGTGCATGAGCGGTCCCCCTTGTGGTGACCACGAAGAAGATATGAAATGATTTGCACAGAACAAGGGAAGAGAAATCCTCCCTAAGGAACGTAACTTTGGGTGAGAATTTCGCTTACGTTACGCTGGTGAAGTTATCAAGCCTCGTGATAAAACGCCTGTAGATAAACCAACGGGTGAGAAAACAACTTAGCCCTAACGCTATGGCCAGAGGTGCAACAGCTGTCAAGAGGTGCCAAAGGGAGGACTAACTCAGGTGATGGATAGAGGCTGGAGCAGTCCCCACTGAACAAAGCAGCTCTTTGTAAAACTGGTGACCAGAAGGTATTAAAATAGTACACATTAGCGTTCAGTAATGGGATGGAGATGGAGAAAGTGCAGCGTTTGCGGTCGCTGCAACATTCTCATTAGATACTCGTTTGTCCAAAATCAGTTGAAACTTACAATGCCGCCGACCGAAGATGCAACATAGTGGACTTTGAAATCGGGGTCTCCACAACCTACATAACAGACGCAACATAGAGTAAGCCAGAGAAACACAAGCCCCAAATATTCGACAGTGGAATGTACTAAGCTACATCTGAGCTCGGGGCGTAAAAGTCCCGACGGACTCCTATGCGTTTGAATCCACCGCAGATTTGGAGTCGTCAATGAGTTAAAGCATTATCGTAAAAACATCAGCAGCACGACAGTACGCAGTATCGACGCTTCGTTGCCGTGCAACCAGCAACATTCGCACGTGGGCTACGGATACTGCGAGGGTCGCTCGGTCCATGGGCAGGCTTGAAGCCGCGCCCTCGGATTACAAAGCAGGCATGTGATCTTTAAGAGTATGGGCCGGCCAGTATTATTGTGATATGTTATGAAAATGCAAAATTGATAGTGTTGCTTCTATGCACATCTGAACGCTCGATAGCTGGCGACGCAAACCGCCTGTTGACAGATATAATTATTCATTTATCTAACCAGACAAGTTATTCGGCGCCTCAATTCAAATTGAAAGGCGAGTAACCTGTTACAATGCCTGTCGAATCCTGATGGAACCGCATGAGGAGAGAAGCATATTAAGCCATTAACAAGACAATTGGCAAAAGTAGGCGGTAAAACTACGTGGAATTATAAAATCAGGATCCGCTTTTCCGTGTTTCACACCCCCGTGGAGGATAAAACTGGGAAAAGCTACGGTACACATATCAGACGCAAACTACCTCCTTGTCCGCGTTGGTGGAAACAGAATGCTTGGATGCACTGGACGCTGGGGGTTCGCTCGCGTTTGTAGACTTCCGATTCGATCGCGTCGGCGGATGACGTCGCGATGACTCATATGTCAGTCTGCTCAAATAAGACGTTTGATCCCAACCGAAGTGCGACTGAGAAGACGGTGGTAGGGTGTGCCAAGAAGGTTCGAATTGGGAGCCGCTGCATTGGGGCATGAGATTAGCAGCTGTCCGAGGGAAGGACTCGGGCGATGGTACACAGATCCCATGGGTTTGTGCCAAAAGCGTGTCCTGAGGTGCGCAACCAGGAAATGGAGCGAACGCGGATGCAGTGTACGGGTGAGTGGCGGCAAACGGTCGCATGTGGTTAGCGGAGGGATAAGTTACCATGCGTTCCAAACCGGAAGGATCATGATGTGCGACGGAGGGATCGTTCTGAGGTGTTCGCCATCTGTTTCCGAAGCCAGGCATGCGAATTCTTTGGAGTCGGCCGTAGTGAGCTGGAAAAAAAGGTGGACAGTTGTGAAATTTTTCGAGCGGGTTGGGTAGTGACTCACCAGAGCATAGCTGGTGGAAAAGGTATGCTAGAGAACAACCGCACTATGAAGCAGGTCGGGGAGATAAACAGAAGCCAGGGAAGGTAGCCAAATAGACGAGAATGGTATTTGATCACAGTTGGGGTGTGAATGTGAATGGATGCGAAAGTGTAGAATAAAGTAATAGCAGATGACATCTTGTGAAGTAATGGAAAGTGGCCCCGTTGTGTCTTGGCGAACGTGGCATAGCTGATCAAGTGAAATCAAATCCGCCTTGCGAATACGACGAGAAAACACTACCCCATGAATACAGCTCCAGCTGTGAAGAGACTGGATCATAGTGTGACGTGATAATTTGCTCGTCTCCAGGATCCAGCGAGATATACTGGCTGGACTCCTGAGTGTTTTGAGAGCTACTCTTACCAGGATGTCAAGGGTTACAGGTGAGGCAAACTTAGACTCTTGATTCACCAGGTTGAGAGTTGAAATTAGCGTAATGCACAGTTGATGTGAAATAGGTCAATTTTTGGATCCGTTAAGGAACTAGGCTTAGGAGTCCCAGGGTTTCGACCAAAGAGTCAAATCACCAGCTTGCTAATAATCTAACACACGTGCAAAGATGACTAGTTACACAAATTTTGGGACCACCTTGAGTCGGTCGTCAAACAGCCTCAAAAGGGCCGCCTGTGCTGCTGCAGGATGAAAAACAGGCTACTACCGAAGCCTCCTAGTGTTATTATAACGACCGATTATCAACCACTGCCTTAGCCGCAACGAACAACACGATCCCCGAGTCGAACCGCATGGTCAAGTAGGGAGCGTTTCCTATGCGCACGCGACTCCGACTCACCAATGAAGAAAAATACCGGAGGGAGATAGAGAGAGAAAACAGACCTTGGATAGAGTGCAATTACAATAAAGAGGGGTACAACGCTGCACAGCTTCGATTGTATGCCGAGACTGGCGACATATGTCGACTGTCGGTAAAGTCAGGTATATATGGATATATATATTATACAATCTGTGGTACGGATGTGCCATCGGAATCATGGCTGAATAGGAAAACAGTGTGAATAATAGGAAAAGAACAACAACAATAACAAAGGCTTTTTTGTCCACTTTACGACTCACAGTTGTTGAATTCTTTCAGTTTGTTTTCTAAGGGGAGGAAGAAGGGACTCCGCAAGACAACGATGCACACGTCCGCCATTGACATCGATCTTAAGTCATGGCTCCCAAGGTCTCCATGCAGCAAGTATCCACCTCTCTCGGACCCCAACCACGTGGTCAACAACAACCGACCGAGGCCAACTGTTTCGTCAGCTTTTTCATGCGGCTTCTGCAAGTTGCAGGCTGTCCACCAGACCGTCTCTTTTAGCTCTGTTCAGCAACCGCAAACAACACTCGACGCGGGTAACGCTGAACAGGCATGCGCAATACGTGTCCCAACCACCGCAGTTGGTGCAGTGAGACGAGCTCCTCGAGCGAGGGGCTTCCACATCCAAAGTCACGCTGTCTACCTTCCACATTGCTTACGTGGTGCTGCCACCACACACGGGCAATGGACCGCAGACAGCGGTGCTCGAAGACGGATAGCCTGCGCAAGTCATCTTTACGAATGGACCAGATCTCACATCCGTAATATCGTACAGCACGAAGAGTTACACAATAGGCCCACCCTTTGATGGAGAGAAGAATGTCATTGCGACGCCACAAGTTCCTCAGCATAGAAAAAGTGAGGCGTGCTCCTGGGATGCGAATCGAAATCTCGTCTCCAACAGCCCCGCCAGCAGTGATGCAACTTCCCAAGTAGACTAAGCGCTCCACAACCTCTAGTGTCTCAATACCGAGAGTGAGTGCAAGCAGAGGCAGCTACCAGTCTTGGAAGAGAGCCTTGCATTTGGATGGCGAAAGTACATACCATACTTTGATGCTTCAATCGCCAAGCGGTTAAGTGCAAGTCGGACGACGTGTGGATCGTCACCCAGCAAGACGACATCATAAGCATAATCCAAATCAACAACTCGATTACCTGGGAGGAGCTCAACGCCAGCGTTCAACGAATCCCCCAGCGCATTCTTCAGGACATCCTCAATGGCAAAGTTGAATAGGAACGGAGAGATAGGGCACTCTTGTCGAACTCCACTGGAGACCACAAAAGATAGACGAAAGCTTGCCATAAGCTCAAACCCTGCCCGAGGTCAAACTATAGAGAGCGCGCAGTATAGAGATGAAGTTCTCGGGGACACCATTCCTCAGTAGGCAGTGCCACAGTATAGTCCGATCGATAGAATCAAAGGCTGCACGGATATTCAAGAACACAGCAATCGTTGACCTCTGATACACATGGCGGAGCTCCAGGATCTGGTAAAATGTGAAGATTTGATCGATGCAGCCGCGACCAGGGCAAAATCCAGCTTGCTCTTCGCGCTGCAACGATTCGCGCTTTGGGGATAGCCTGCGAAGTATGATGGACACCAGCAGCTTGCAAACATCGGGGACTAGGCATTTACCTCTGTAGTTGTAGCAGATTGTGCGCAGGCCCTTTTTGAAGATGGGGAACTTCCTTTTTCGACTAAACTTTCGAGAACAAAGCAGTGAGTTCTCGAACCAGCGACGCGCCACCATATTTAAATAGAGCTAGAGGAAAATCATCATGGCCGGGGGCTTTATAACGCTTCATGTGGCGAAGTTCCTGCTCGATTTCCTGGTAAGAGGGAGGATCTGTGGGGGTTGACCACTCGGCACCAGTGCGAACGCCAGAGGTAGCAGATAGAGCTGGGAGCCAACAAAACTGCGAGCCAAAATGTTTAGCCTGTCGTTGAAGATTGGTGATTAAGGTGCCATCCTCTTCGCATATTGCTTCACTTATACCAGATCGAACACCTTCGGTGACTCGAATGAGGTGGAAAAGTTTTCTGGTATTACCAGAGAGACTATCAAGCTTCATCGTCCTAGCAGGTTCACACCACCAAGCTTCGCGGTCCATTTGCAGACTCCTGCGCAACTCCCGATCCATGGATTGGCGTTCTTCACTGTGGCTGCAGTCCGAGGTGATCAAACGAGGTTTGTCCATCATCGACAAGGAGACGGCGGAAATTCAATGCATCGGTGGGTGACGGGCAACACCACAAGTGTCAACACTCGCGGAAACTAAGACATCTTTGACCTGCGCCCACTGCGAATCGAGGTCACGACCAATAGTTGAGCAAAGCAAGGTTAACAGTGAGACTTGGTACCTGGTTAAAGTCGCAGGGTTGTGTAGATTTGCGACGTCGGGTCGGTAGTGAGCGCGCCTGAGTGATCCTCCGAATCGCATGCAAATCTTAGCACGAACCAATGCGTGATCGGAGTCTAGATAAGCTGACCAGCACGATCGGCAGTTAGTAACGTTTCCGCGCCATCTGTAGCTGATTGCTATGTGATCAAGATGGGACCACTCTTGCTTTTGTGAAGGCGGGCGCTAGGTAGCAGTGTGTCTCCTTGAGTGTGAAAAACTAATGCTCGAAAGATACAAGCGATGAGTAGAGCAAATAGCAAGCGGTCTGTCTCCATTGTCTGATCGACTGCCACAGAGACCAAAACAACCCCCCACATCAGTGGTTAGAGATTCTATCAAACATGGCGCAGTAAGTGGTGTTGCTGTATTCAGTTTCTTGCGTCTAGCTGTCAATTTTCCATCACAATTATTTTGTGCACCTCTGTCATGATTACTTTTTCTTTGTACTCCAACTCCAGTCAGCCTCATCTTCTTACCGTTGTTATTTATCATTATGCTGGCGACGCGAGTCGTGGCAACTGGATCCACCCAATTCGGTGTCCGGAAAATAATTGTTTAACTGAATCGAACTGATATCATCATCCATTTGATATTCATGAAGCGAAACAATCAACTTCGGTTAGGATCTCTAAACAGATTTTGGCCCTTAGCACGCGATAGGCACCTACAAAGTCCAAGGAGCTATCTGCAGGAAATCAACCGAGAGCTACCTTTGTAAAGCTTGAAGGAGAAAAAGTGCGGATATCAGATTGGTTTACCTATCTTGGAAGAAACGTTAGTAATAATGGGTGTGACTAACAAAATCAATTCACGTGTTATTGAGGTCACAATTACTTTCATGAACCTGACACATGTAGGGACAGACAATGATTTGTGTTGGCTATGAAAGCTGTGTGTGTGTGTGTGTGTGCAAAAACAGTGAAATTCGGAACTTTCTGTCTAAGGCAGTGATTTCCAACTTTGTGAGGCCAGTATCCCTAAAGGAAGTCCAATATATAACCAATTACCCCCAAAATATTTTGCCTGAAAAACAGATAAACTATTAGTTATCGCACGTTTTGCTTTAAATTATAGAAGATAAATTTCTTCTTCAGCGAATTTCAATCATTCGAACAATTTCCTTCATTAAATCAAGAGGCGTTACACGTTAATGAGACGGTTGATATTGTTGATTTCTAACAATTTCTGATAGATTCGGTGCGCTTTCCATTAATGCGGATCATAAGTCGTGCTCCAAGTCCATTCGGTTCCTTGCTTTGATCTGCGATTCTTGATCAAACAAGAACAGGTATCAGTGGCCTCTCATCTGTTTCAATCATCCCTTCCAAGTTAATCCTGGACGAGAGCTTTGCAACACCACTCTGTATCGATAGGCCCTGAACACTTCTACTTTGTAAACCTTTGCTCGCTCCTTTACCTGATCGGCTGACCTGTGCTCCCACCTTAATATTCACTCAGCTCTGGAATTCGGACTCGGTGAACGACAATTGACGAGCGAGCCGATGGAGGTGTCATCCAGCTGCGCTGCTTCGCAAGCTGGAATTCGTACTAAAAAGTAGTATAACTTATTACCGGACATCGCCAAATTCACTGATCACTTACTAATGACTAGTTAATGATGACTAATCAATAATGAGTAGGCTCGTAGCCTAGAGGTAACGAGCTTGTAATCTTGCGGCGGGGGTTCGAACCCGCGTAGGGGTAGGCGTCCTCGCAGTATACTCAGCCCGCGTGCGACTGGTGGTGGTCGCATGGAACCGAAGCGCCGTTACGACGTACAACGGACACATTATTATTATTATTATTATCAATAATGATTAGGTGGTTAGTTACATGCTTTGATACAGAGGATATTGCCATAAATTATGTTTAGTGACATATTTATGACCAAATACTCGTATCCATCTTTACCCCCGTAAAATTCCATGTTGCTCCCTTGGGGATAATGAACCCCAGGTTGAAAACCATTGTGCTAGATCAATAAATGAGAGGGAATAACGACGGGTGATTCGTTTGGACTAGGTGCGCGACTATTGCAGTGGTGCACGTTTTGTCTAGTCCTCAGCTTAGTACGTGTGTGTGTGTGTGCTGAGGGTGCTAGTCCATCGCTTACTGAAACGGACTATGTTTTTGTTTAACAGGGCGTTAAGTGGCGGCGGGTTGAGGTAGGTATTCAGTCTTATAAATGAGAAATAAAGTTGGACGATGTTGGTCTTTCCGCTGCGAAATACTGATCTAATTATAAATAAATAGACAGGTACATCTGCCAATGAGCGGGATACGTTCCCTTTTGTGGAGCAATCATTTGTACAGCGAATTTCGTCAACATTTCATTTATGAACTGCATTCAATATGGAACAGTTATGCAATGTTTTGTCGAGTAGGTAATAATAGCATAGTTAATACTGTCATATGTTTTTGGGCCAGATTTTATGACTGCGCTTCTGGATTACCGAGGGTCGAAAAGTTTGACCACATTTGGTACAGAAAGAAGTGTTTAAATGAGATTTAAAAATTGACATGCTCTCGCCAGTCCTTAGTTGCAACGGTAGTTTATTTCACAGGTAGGCGTATCTCAGCAAGAGGAAAATTAAGCGGATGGTTTGCTTGGTCTTCTGTGAGAATAGTATGCATTTTGTAAATCAACAGGCGTACCGGTTGAGAAAACTCACGAATATATTATTATACTGTAGAGAAGAGTGATATTGATCGTTGTTTCCCTTTTGGTGTATTTTCGATGCTAATTCGATTTATTCCAGTTATCGCTTACACCATGTATTTGACCAACCGTGTGTCCTTGCATCTGATTGGTTGTTTTGGTATGCGCTGCCTGGTTTTGTCGCCTGTCTTCTGCCATTACGGGTATAAGAATGATGTTGTAGGGTATCAGAAGCATGGAAGTAATTGACGATAAATGTAAGTAGATGACAGCCACACTCCAAAAGTACGTTTAGCTGAGCAAAACAAAGACAATTTATGCGTACCATTAAGGACAGATACATGATAAAAATAAGAATTAATAGCCCACTGGAGTAGTTAGAACCACTCAGTGTCGGTCGCCTAGTTACCTGGCATCAGTGCACTGTGGCGAACGGGAGATAGGCTCGAACGCGACAGCCACAACAGTGCGCCGCTCGCCCATACAATCCGGTAATATTTTGCTAGTAGGTGAGAGCGGGTAGCCACGAAGAGAAAGGACGGTCAACTAACAGTGTGCCTGGGAGACGCATACACAGTGATGCCAAGTGGATTGGAATCGGTTTAGGGTGTTGGAGAAGTGACAAACCGGGAACGCAAAAGCAAAGTGAAATGACCGAAATGAAAGAGAACGCGATCGAAGAACTGTTGAGGGTCTCACTTGGAAATCGGTTCATCTGTGACGGATGCATAGCTGGATGGAATCGCATGAAAGTATCCAAGGGGCTTGGTGACCGAGGCCAATGTGGAGTCCAATCTCCCAGTGCCCCGATGGAGGGCATCGGCGGCGGTCCTGTCGTAGCCTCCACTGCGCGTGAATCAACCAACCTTCCAGGCTGGTTAAGCGAATGTGGACGCATCAAAGAGGGGGGAACCATGTAGAGGGACAATGCCTGATTTATGCCGAAGCCAGTCAAGTTGGCTAATGCTTGTCCATACAACCACAAAGCCAACATGTGATGCAGGTGCGCCAAAACAAGCTGACACGAAGACAAGAAAGTGAATAGAGAGGTAGGGATGGGGACAAGTGAAGCGTGAGAAGAAAGCTATGGATCAAGTGTGTTTTGCCTGTGCCTGGGATAACCGATGTAGAGAGGATGGTGATTACTTCCATGCCCTCTGGATGATTGAATAATGATGTACTCGGAAGCAAACGCTGCTGCGGCGATCACGAGTGAGGAGAATGCATGGATTCAGAAAAGGAAGTCAAAAAACTAGGCGCTGGTCACTCGAAATATAGAGAGCAGTGCAACAAGAAGTGGGATGCACCAATTTCTACAGTAGCAAAGTATGAAAACTGGTCTACTCCAAATCAAGCTGGTAGAAGATAGAGCTAAAGAGACTCAAGTTTTTGGAGCAGAAACAGCTTCTTCCCACTGGCAATTACTAGTTTGGCACACGAGAATGGAAAGGACGGGCCACTGCGAGTAAATGGCCAGCGTGGATTGACTATCTCTGGCTATGCGAATCTAAAGAAACGAATCGATAGGTGATGTGAACGCGGAACGGACCGGAAATGGAGGGAAAATACAGCGCAAATACTAATGGATATAACAACGAAAAATATGGTGTGGCGACGCGCAAGTATCAAAGAACGATGCCAATAGGTAAAATCCCCGCATGTAGCAAGCAAGAGCAAAGTGATAGCTGTCGTGCACAGCGATAACTGAAAATGACAGTATGCGTCATCAACAACTAGTCAGTTCTCAAACACGACCATACAACATGATATTCCAAAAATGCTCGCCCAAAGAAAACAGAATAAACAGAACTCTTCGGTGCCTGAGATAATTGTAGGCCACTGTACTCTATATAGACCAGAGACAGGGGTCACAGTAAAATGATCGAGCTGATGACAATCCAAAGCCATAGTTCAACAATAAGACGTTTATGGCAGCAATATCACAATTTGGGAGGGGGTTGATTGAGTGTGGTTCATAGACAGAGGTGGCTATAAACACCCGCACGCTCGACCCGTTCGTGGGATTGAAATACACGGCAGGTTGAGAAAATGCCTCCCTATGCCAAGAATCAGTATTCGGCTGCAAGTCGCTCACACTGGTAGCAACGATGAAAGGTGTGCGTTAGAGATATGGCACAAACGCGTGAGGAAAAAGAGATGTCAGCAACCGACAGACCAAGTTAAAGCGTGAATAAAGGATTTTACATTTGCTAATAAAAGTGATATCATCACACAGACAGGGTAACAATTCGTACAGATGCTCCGTGCCAATGCAACCGTAACTTAAGAGGAAAATCTCTTACAAACAAACAATAAGAGCCAAATGCAAAATCTAAAAAAACGTTGTGCTTCCTCAACGACGCACAATCACAAAAGAATGGCTGCCGTGAGATGATAAGACACCAGCGGCGTGGAAGCCTCCTTGCGGCTTATCACTCCCCAGACAGTTGCCCTGGCCCAAGAAAGGGGGAGGAGCTCAGAGCACGGATAACACCAGTGGCACAGACTGTCCTGATCTTGGGTCGCGGTTCTACGTGGAGCTGGGGAATGCGCACGGATGAGAAGTTGCTTTTCCGGATACATGCTAGGCTATTTAACTTGTCAGCTGGTGAGGCAAACTCGATAAAGGAGCATCAAAACCTCCTACTCAGGAGAAATATTATGAAGTCTGGAACTAAGTGCACAGTGGGCCATGTGGATCCCAACCAGGAAGATGTGACGGTTCAGCACCATCCAGCCTAGTGATCAGTGGTTTCATTTTCACTTACAAGTTAATGAATACCCAGCTCGAACAATATACTGATCAGCATTCGGTAGAAAAAAACGAAATCTGTCGAGGTAAGCGAGAGGCAAGTGCACTCAGCATGGTACATTTACCAACGCAGCTCATCGAGTCTTACTTGTTGACCTAGAAACTATACTGACAATTGTCGCTCAGCATTAGTTGATGAATATCAACTTAGCCGAACTACTGGTGTCACGCAGCATGGGCAATGCTCCATAAACAGCAATGGTTTGTCGTTGTTAGTGTCGTGATTTATGAAAAGATGACAACGTTGAGAAATGATGGAGACAACTGGGTGTTCAATGGAAACGATCGTAAGAAGATGATAAAACGAGGTGTAAGAGAACGGTTAGTCAAAAGATGAAGACACCACTGATCACCTCAATGGAACTAAACCAAATGGAACGACTCTTCAACGGCTTAAGTAAGGGCATCAGCAGTACGCTGCCGCGCAACCACCACCAGTCACGCGTGAGCTAAGGATATTACGAGGCTCGCCCGATCCCCTACGGAGGCTCGAACTAGCGACCTTAAGATGACAAGGAAGGCTTGGGATACTCAAGGCTACGAGTTGGCACACGATACCGACGCTTCGTTGCAACGCGATGACCACCAGTCATGCGTGGGCTGGGTGGTATACTGCGAGTTCGTTCACACCTAAGCGGATTCGGACCGGTGACATTCGGGGTACAACACAGGCGCGCAATCCAATCGGCGGGTGACCGAATGGGTGAACCCAAACCAATACATCCATCAGCTTCACACGTAAACTGAGATGTGGACGCTCAGCGAAGAGTTTTTACCCAGCTAGGGTGCATCGAAGCAGCCTGTCGCCAGGTACACGAAGGGTACAGCTTAATTAGCATGGGCTGTTCGGACATAATGTTGGGTCACCTTGGGGTTTAGTGTTAAACATAAGCATGGGACCTCCATTTGATGCTTCTACCATGTATGGGCAGTTTCGCAAACAGTAAAGATAAGTATCCACGTCGCGTCTTAAGCATGCCGTGGGATGTCGTTGTTTCAAACAAGAACAACATCGGCTCCACTGCGCAGTCTATGCATGATTGATTCGCCGCGTCCACAGAAGGCTGGGAAAGATATGGAGAGCTGCACATATTCGGCCTCGGCGAATTGACCATCAAGTGCAATCAATAGCCCCGATGGGTTTTCGGTTATAGTGTGATGCAGCGAGAATGGCGCAGCCAGAGCGTTTTGAAACACAAGAACCAAAGGTGTCGCGAAGGTGGAAGGCAGATATGCACGAATTGGAGACAGATAAGATTACCATGAATCACACAGGTATATGATCAATGACGAGGGACGACAAACTGAGGGTTTAGGTAGTGAAATTTAAATGATGCGGTAGGCCAAGTTAAGCAATAACAAGTAGTTAACATATCCATGGCCACAATTCACGCAAAAAGCAGCGCGAAAAACCGGGCAAAATAGACACATACCTGAGTTGTCTCGTGGTCCGCGTAAATTTCCATCGGAATCCTATTAGGATCTGCCCACAATAAATCGAGACCATCGTTAGCGAGACCGACGGACGGCAGGACAATATGCCGGTTGAAGTGCGTAGCTGATTGACCCCTGCGAGTTGTACCCGATCGACGAAGTTGCAATTGTAGCAACCGCCGACGGCGCCTTGGTTCGGGCAATATGTGAATGGCCTTTTCAATTGCCGGTTGGGTCTCTGTCGAGTGTCGCATCCGCAGAGCCGCTTGTGCTTGTAACCAACTCAAGGGTGACGATGATTCAGCATGCAAGATGGTAGGATGTGTCGAGGACAATGTCGGAGAAGAGGAAGTTGTGCACATGAAGTCGGCGAAGCCGGAATTACTGGAAGTCAACCAGCAAAGGAACCGATAAGGGAGGCAGACCAGGGTGGCCAATCGGAATGGGGTAGAAGGCGAAGAACCCGCAGGCTTCGCATGACCTTCAGTTGAGTCCGCATTTTCGACTTCCGCATGGTTCTGAGGTCACAGAGGCACAGAACGTAGGAAAGGGTAGGTAGCGAACAAGTTGAGCAGAATGGATGAAAATAACGATGTCAATTAAACAGATAAATACATGAAACGCGAAGAAAACAAACTTGGAAAATATTTACCTTCTTTCGGGAAGAAGCTGGATGATGGGGGAATATTAAATGCATTGATCTTGATCTGGTGGCAGGAAGATAGTTTTGGCATTTAAAAATGAACAAAAACACCATAAAAAGAGCGAGGTCCAGTTCAAAAATCAACCAAAGTATCGATCATGAAGAGCTGCGATCAGCACGAAGATTAACGGCAGATCATATAGATAAAAACACATGATAGACATTGTCATCAGCTTGGCTCAGTTGTCACAAAAATGACGGGAACACCGAAGTGGTATGGGCCAGAGATCCCCAGCTTACGAGCAGTATTGACGGTAAGAATTAGTGATGGCAGAAAAAAGAAAAACGAAAAAAAGATAAGGAGGGCGCAAAGACGGTAAAATTAGCTAATAAAAGGCGCGGCGTTAAAGATATCGAGTGCAGTTGATTTTTCGATCCCTAAGTGTCAGGCAGTCTTTAATCATCGATGTGCTCTAACTGATTCAAGATGGCAAGTACCATCTCGATTGGGCGCATTGATGAGCATCTCAACAGCTCTTGTCGAATGAACGACCGGTCACTCTGCGGCTACTCCAGATATGCAATGCAGGTGTGCGAGGAAAATGAGCAACCAACGTAGGCGGTTTGGACAAAACGGATGATCCAACGCAACACCAGATCATGCTTTCAAGCCACCCAAACTGGTGTATAGAAGCGTAATTTTCTACGTGACCCAACCAGGGCTGAGCAGTTGTTATCTCAGTGTACTCAACACGAAATAGCTGTTGCGGGCCGGAGCCAGTGGCAACTTATAGATGCCAAACATGGGCCCGAAAGCGAAAATGACATTACCCAACTAAACTGAAATTGAGGATCTTTTTATGAGATGGGATGTCCACTTCAGATGAAGCGAAATAGACGATGTAAAGCCCAACAAATGAATAACAAACGACTCTCCAAAAAGTAAGAGAAAGAGAACTGAAAGCGGTTAGCAAATTAAGGAAGTTTACCTGCTGTCGGTGCAAAGTCGAGCAAGTGGGAACACGTACTATATGGTTGAGTGATTCGACTCTCGTATACAGGATGGTAAGGTGGTGTAGCAAGATATGCAAGAGGAACCTTGGAAGCAAGGACAACGAGGTCAATGTATCGGATAGATGCTATTTAGTTGTTGTTGGAAAGGAAAATGAAGACAGACAACCCCAGACCAAAGGAACCGTTGTCGTGCCAAATCGTCGTAAATGGTGCGGATAGACCAATAGCGAATGAATCGTCACTGCTGCGTTTCAACAATGACACACATCCTGAATCGTCTCAGTGACAGGAGTCGTAACCACAGTCCACAAGATGAGACAGCCAGCCATGGCCAATGGGCAGTACAAATGCAATTAACGCACATCGCACTAGAGTGTTCCTATGCACAAAGCGACGAGTACAATAATTGCCCTTTTGACAATTCAAATGTGAAATCAGCGAAGCACAGAGAAATGGACAATGACGGGCTCCAGGCTGCTGTTGACAAACTGAAACCATGTTGATATTATCGACCACTGTCTACTAATATCGATAAGATGCGGAGTCGTATCACATATATATATATATATATATATATATATATATGGGGAAGTACGCAGGAATCTATTTTTAGAGAACAATTTCTGAAAAGTAAAAAAAGTTTTAGTTCCTGCGCCAGATGAATCATCCCCTCTTGATGACTCAGCGATCCTATTCCTACCATTTTCCACCTTCCGAACTAATAACACGCTTTAGACCGCTACATTCTCAAACGGCTATCGTTATTCATTCACTTCCTTTGTGTGCACTTTTCTCACGGTCACGCTTTCATCAGTATACTATGAACACTACTGGTATCGTTACCTGTTTCCGCCCAAAGTCGCAAACCTAGTCGTGAGCCCTATCTTGTCCCCTCGGCTGGTGACGAAACGCCTGTAACATAATTCCTCAGATAGGGGAACAAACGAAAAAAAGCGAAATATTATTATACCCATTAGAAGCACGGTTACAGAATTATAGCACTCCTGTTCTATCAGTCTTCTGCCCGGACAGTGCGTATAGTCTAGATTTGTATTGCGAAGTAGAATCAGGTATATACACTTCGTGCGATGTAATTAGATTTAGCACAATTTCGTCGTCAAATCATCTGTGTGTTGGCTGAGAGGAACCCCGGACGCCGTAGACACCGCATGTTGTCGAACCGCTGGAATAAAAGACAGATGGAGACAGACACTATTGCAGTGTGTAAGGCTACCGGTTTCATCAGACCTCAAGTTTAAAGAAATACGGAACAAAAGCGAACGTTATCTGTTAATTGGCTTACTAGAGAGTGTAAGGTAAAAAGCCCGATGTGAAGTGGATGCTGGCGTTCGAAAGAAAGCAAGGAGCCAGTGTAACGCAATGAACGAAACGGCGATGATCAGGAAAGACCGCACAATCATAGAGACCAGCTGTGCTGGTTTCGCTTGACATGAAAACCGCCTTCGACTCTGTTGATCGTGCCTGGGACACTCCTTGCTATTCTGAAGTCTCCTTAGCAGGACTCTCGAGACTGAGTAAGGGTTTAGGGGAAGCTATCTCCTGAGTTCCCAAAGACACATAGGGTTACCCAGGATTGTCTGATATCACATTTGCTGTTCAATTATGGGGTAGGAATGATCATGAACGAGTTTGGGATTTCAGCCTTTTTCGGATTAGAAGTTCTGCCAGGTGATCGACTGACAAACCTTGAGTATGCAGACGACATAGCTTTGCTTGGGTCTGATGCAGGGACTATGCAAACGCTACTGAATAAACTGCCGCGCACCGCTGCAAGCTTCCGCATGTGCCTATCACTTCCAAAGTGCAAGGTATTGTGTTAGTAATGGACCGATATGTCACCGGCCCTAGACATCAGTAACAGCCTCTGGAAGTGGGGGATCAGTTCACTTACCTTGGGTAACAGCGTCACGTCTGGTGGTTAAGTCAGTGGGAGGTTAATTCGCGTAGCAACAAGACCCGCGTGTCTATAGAACTGAAGACTGGTAGCTCAGGTTGTTCAGATGGCAGTTGAACTGTTCGCTGAGCTTGGCAATTTGGCTGCAAACGTTTCGTCACCAATCGAGGTGACATCATCAGTGCATAGTTGAGTGGCGTGCAGACCCGTGTGGCTTTTCGGAGGCTCAACCATATATGGGGACGGCGGTATATCAGCTAGTCAGTGAAAGGTAGGGTGTATAACGCTACGGTAAGACCAGTCTTATTGTATGGATCAGAGACCTGGCCATTTCGCGGCAAAGACCTTGAACGCTTGGCTGTGTTGGACCACCGGTGCTTGCGGAGTATTGCTCATTCCTAGTGGGAACAGCGGGTGAGGAATGTATAGGTCATCAGTTGGTTTTTGGCAAGTCTTCTGGTGCTTCACTTGAGTGTCTGCTGAATCTTAATCGCTTACATTGGCTAGACCACGTCTTCCATCGACCGGTTTCCTCGGCGCGTATTATACGCCGTGCGTATAGCAAGTTGGGCAAAAGCGTGAGCTGGCCAGTTCATGACGCGGCAGAAAGGCATGAAGAATTTGACAGAGTGACTTGTTCAGGCTGGTACATGCCATTGTCGTGGATGGGGCTCCGAGATGATCTATACCAGTGGTTCGAGACTCTATCAAAGATGACACAGTTGCGCAGTCAGTGGCGTTCCTGCATTCGGTTTCCTGCATGTAGCAGCTAATTTTTCAGTCTTATTTGTTTTCGCTTTTCTGTCCTGACTCCATTTCCCTCTGTTTTCTATTTTCGATCAACCTCATCGCCTCACTGTTGTTATTGTTATATCCTGAGGACGTGAGTTGGGCCAACTGGAAACCCTACATTTCGGCACCCATATCACAGCTGTTAAAATGAATTGAACCGGACACCAGAATCGCACACCGATGTTTCGTTGCCATGCAACCACAAGCGGTTTTATACGCGTTGGGATGCCACCACAAGGACGTGGTTTCATTCCGAGCACGAGAGTCACTACACCACAGATCCTCGAAGAGCACAGACAAGCTGATTAATTTAAGAACAGGACTAGCATGGAGCCCCGCTACCAGCCTTCAACCGACGGGGTGGAGGAAAACTCGTTTCTTAAACATCCCTATACTGTGTCTGTGAGTGCGAAATCTAGTCCGCGACGTATTGGGTAGTCGGCAAAGCTCAGAAAGGTGATTATAGAGTCTCACGGATGTGCGTGAATGCGATGACACTATTTACATAGGATAAAGATAAACCATATACTTATTCCCCACAACACTGCTCACGATAAAATCTATTGCAGAACGCTACATTCGACAGGCTTGCTGAATGAGATATCGACAGTGTAGATACCCTCAGTCATTGAAAATAAGTGAGTGGTCACGGTCACCAGAATTTGCGTCAGGTAGTCAAAGCTTGGCAAGAGCACTACTGCTTCGTGTACAGAGCACGCAGCCCAAGAGCCACCTAAGTCAGGGCTAGGGTTGCCATTTGAGAGAGATGTGTAAGAAGACGACGCGCGTTGAGAATTTCGTTCGATGGGCGATCCAACTACACTGGAAACATTTGTCGCTAATTTGTGAGGGAACTCTATCGAGTCGAACTGAGAAAAGGGGATTACATTGTCAGAAAGAGAGGGCAAAGTGATAGGGAATTGGTAGCAGTGTGTGAACAAATATTTCCCGGCTGTTCAGACCAAAGGTAAGTTTTATTCGATGGCAATATCTCTAATCTCGGACTCAAAGAGTGACGGTGGAGATCAGAGCTAGGTGGGGGAAATGACTGCAGAGTTCCACGAGAATGAGTATGAGGCTGGCGACTCCAAACTTAGGTTAAACTCTTACATACTCAAAGAAGTTATTTAAAAATGCCCTAGAAGCCCATGACT